GAGAGAGGTCCACACTGTGCTGAGTGTAAATAAGGGTGGGTGGAGAAGAGGGAGGGGAGAGAGTGATGGAAATGCAGAGAGCGAGAGCAGACCGCGCCTATCGATGCCGGCTGAAACAGCAAGGCAGCATGGGATGTAAGCAAATACACCAAGCTCTCTTAATGAACAGGGTGTGCATGTGTGATTGTACAGGTATGATATAGTGCTGGTAGCTGTCAGGTTCACAGACTGAGATTTATATTTTTTAAGCACTGTTTGGCATTAATTATTCAGACTGAAAACAGTCTGAGCAGCGTGGCTTTTGTCTTGTGTGCATAAGAGAGTGTGCATGATGGAGAGATACAGAGAAGTAATGAGAAAGGGCTGTAGCTGAAAAGAAGGGGTGAGGCTCAGAGCATTGGCATCAGCTCAGCTTTACCTTTTGAGAAAATGTAATTATGATGGAGGAGTTCACAGTCTTACTTGCAGGTTAATAACTAGTTGAAACTAATACAAATACATGTATTAAATGTTGCTTGTTTCTACTGTACTAAAAGGATTTCTTTAAATAACAGTGCTCTAACAAAAGCAAAGGGCATGTTCTATTCCTAGTTTAGGAAAAAAGAGTGAGAAAACATATATGTGTCACTCATTGGCCTGATAAGAGAGTTTATTGTTCATCTATATTGAGGCTCACATACAGACATGAAAACAAAGCAGTCTCAGCAAAGCCTCCCTCCTAATGATTTCACAGAAAGGTTAACATGTTATAGATGAGAGTATGCCAGATTTGCAAAGTGTATCTTACAGCACCACTCTATTCAGATACACGAAGAAAAAAAGAAAAGGTGTGCCCTTCATCACTTCCTGTCACAGTGCAAGATTGCTACCACTCATGTGCTATGAGGAAATGTGTCACTGCTTTTTATAACCACTCTAAAATAAGTCAAACAATATTCCAATTTATATTTCACCAAATACAAATTAGTAGTTAATAAAGGGTTAATACTGTTGTTTGGTATTTGAGTCTTTTTAATATAGTTATTTTTTTAGAACAACACATTTCTGCAATACAATTAAATAACAATCAAAAATATATGGTTAAAAGTATTAAAGGCTGTGTTTACTCAGTTAGATTTATTTTGATACACCACTCGTGAATTGTGTGTTTCACAGGAAGTGTGCATATCTTGCCAACCTCTTTTTTATCAGCTCCTCCCTTTTGTTCCTGTGTGGTGAAGAGGGACATGAACAGATTGTTCTTGCTTGCTTTGCCACGGTTTTAGTATAAACTAACTTTTAAATCTGTGGGTTTAAAACACATCAGGGGATACATGGTAAGTGAAATGCAGCTTTAACATAGAGGTACAAGAACAACATTACAAGGGAAATGTGTTTGGAAAATGTTTGTCAGTATCTTTACAAACCGAAACTGTACTTGTTTTAATGTCAGTGTGTAAAAGAAAGGGCACAATGTCAGCAGTAACTAAAGTATCTGTATGAAAAAGAAAATATCTAAGCTGTCATTAAGCCACTTTATTTAAGTTAAGCAGCTTTTCTTTTCAGAATTTATTTCCATGTTTAATAATAGATTTGAGGTGGCTCTACCGTAGTTCAGCAGGAGATGGCGCTGCGGAGCCGCAAGATTTATGGTGATGAATGCTTTGAGAAATGGGAGTTTGTCAGCTCTGGGGGATTCGGTCAAGTCTTCAAGGCCAGGCAAAAGGACTTGGGAATTGATGTGGCTATTAAAATACCCCATGATGGAAATAGGTAAATATAAAAATACCTAAAAAGGTCATGCACATTCTGAATAGAAGTTCAAAAGGTACTGCTTTCCCATATCTCTTTTCAACAATCCCCTACCTTAACTATCGTTTCCAGCTCCTCCATGATACTGCGTGATGAGGCCAAGTATATGGATATGGCTTCCTTTAAGTTTGTGGTGAGGCTTTATGCAATGTATCAGGGCTGTCCGCCTGGTAAAGGACCATTCACACAACATCAGGGAATAGTGATGGAGTTCATGGAAGGAGGATCTGTTCAGTCCCTGCAGGAGTATCTCCGCGGCCCTCCACGGTGGCCCCTGGTTTTCCGCTTGTCCCATGAAGTGGCTCAAGGCATGAACTTCATCCATAAAGAAAATCTCATGCACCAAGACCTTAAGCCAAGTAATGTACTGCTGAATGATTACCTTAATGCCAAGGTAAAGTGCCTAACCCCCTATGTTTACATTAGACAAAAGGAGATTTAATAATGTGTTTAATACTATGTTTCCCTTCTTTCTCTGTAGATAGCAGACTTTGGTCTGTCCAGAGTTTCCGCCAGCACTTCGAACAGCAACAAAGAGAAAACAGGGGCGATTGGTGGCTCATACAAGTACATGCCCCCAGAAGCTCTTGAATCAGCATCATATGAACCTGTTCGTTCTTTTGATGTATACAGGTAAGAAATGAACAAATAATACTACCCAATATGGAATTAACCTTAAAAGGATACTTTACACCCAAACCAATCATTTGTATATCTAATACTCACCCTGTGTTATCTGGAATTCATGAAAGACGGATGAAGATTCTAAAAAAGGAATACATCCTTGATAAATTGAAGTTATTAGGGACTGCATAAGAATAGCAAAACTATTTTAAAATATCTGTGAACAAACTCAGATGTTAACAGAGGAGGCATGCAGGAAAGTTGTATACAATGAGTTATTACTATACAAATGGTAGTGTAGGGGTGAAGTATTTCTTCAACAGTGTTACTGTGTTGTGAAATCCCTTTCTCTCTCTTGATCAGCTATGGTATCCTGCTCTGGACCATTGCTACTGGTAAAGATCCCTATCCATGTAAGTGCAGTTTATTTTGTTGTCCTATCATTTTCCACTCTGTTGTTTTTCCTTTTTTGCCATGTAGGTTTACAATAAATTATTCAATTAAATCAATGTTTTTTTTATCACATGTACTGCAGTGGGTAATTACGATCGTGTGGCATCGAGTATCCCTCTGGGGCACAGACCTTGCTGTAAGGGAATTGAGCAGATGAAGGTAGATGGGCTGAAAGAACTAATTCTCCTCATGAAGCGGTGCTGGGATGGCAGTCCCAACAAGAGGCCTACCTTTATACGTAAATATTTGTTTTTGTTGTCAGTAAGTTTGAAATGTTTCTGAACTAAATGAGCTACACATTAGCTTAGATACCTTTTGTATACTAGCTTGACACACATATTTACAATGTAACGGTGCTTCTGTTTTAGAGTGCCTGGACGACACTGAGAAAATGCTCTCAATGCACAGCACGAGAATTCATGGTGCCGTGGGTCAAGTGAAAAGACTGGTACAACTCATACATTTAATTTCATTAAAGGAATAAGTGCAGATAAGTTGATTTGTAACTTAGATACACTTTTAACAGGTTTATCTTCTTTCTCTGACATATAATATGTTTTCCCTGTTTTACTTTAGATGTCACCAAACAGCAAAACATCAAACACAAGTGGGGCGACCAATGTTTCCCTTCAGACAGCAGGTAGATTGTTTAACACTGTTTGTGGGTGGAGGTAGTTTAATCTAAGTTATAAATGATTACTTACTTTTGACAATAGAATATTATGATTCTTTCTCTTTTGCAGAAGAGTCAACAAATGATTCTGTGGACTTTGGCAGGATTACAGAAACCGGAAGGTCTTTCAGCCAGGTATGCCAAATTCACTTTGACCCTTGCCCTCACAAGAAGTAGAATACATATTACATAACGTTGACTAAGTTGCAATAGAACAAAACAAACAAACAACAAAATGTGTCATGGAAAACATGGTCATTTGAACTATATTTTGTTGTATGTCTTTGATTGAAATGGAAATCACATTTCAAGGGCTTCATTGTCATAAAGGAAACATACAATAACAGTCCTATTGTTTTACATTGGGATTCTGAAACTAGTTAACAACACATTTAACACATCTATGAATGAGTTGAATTTTTTTGCAATAAAGTCTGAAAGAGTTTTTTGTTTTTCATCAGGTCTGTGCTTCTACTAAAACAATGAGCATTAAAGATAAAGGTGAGTATTTTGCACCAAAAATGTATTAAAAAATGTGTTTTAATTTCCTGTTAAACATAAAATCTCAATAGAGCATTTTATTGAATGACAGCATTTACTTCATACAAAATGAGTTAATTATGCCTTTTATATGTACATTATTTTCTTCTTCTATATTTAAAAACAGCAACGTTTGTTGATCGCAACCAGGTAAAGTTGATTAAAGACGTTTCAGAGGTAATGGCAATAGCCGAGGCGCTTGGAGACATGGTCCACCGTGAAACCTTATCCAAGATTGGAAGACAGGACACAACAAGCCATGATAAAATGAGAGAGCTTTATCATGGGTCTCTACGTTCAGGGGGCGATAAGGTCAAGGCAGCCTTCTACGACGCCCTCAAGGCTCAACATCCCCACCTAGTGGAGAGGCTTGGTAGGACTTCCTTCTGTAAATGATTAACATGGGAGTTTATCTTATGACATATTATCATATTTTTTTCTCTTTCTTTACAGGTGGTTAATTCTGAATACACTGTGGCCGTGCACATTCCCCCCAGGTGCAGAATACTTTGCATGCCTCACCTACTTTCATCTTTTGTAAAAAAGTTCATATATTTTATGCTTTTATACATATTGTTGAGATTTTATAAAACTTTTATATTCTGTAACATATAAAGTTTTACATTTAAGGATCTTTGAAAAACAAAAATGGTTCTATACTGTGTCATTATGGCTTCATTATGAGTTGACAAACACGTTGTTCATTTTATAAAGAGGAAGTTGCTTTTATTAGAGAGAGAGAGAGAGAGAGAGAGAGAGAGGAGAGAGAAAGAGAGAGAGAGAGAGAGAGAGAGAGAGAGAGAGAGAGAGAGAGATGAGAGAGAGAGAGAGAGAGGAGATCGAGATAGAGAGAGAGAAGAGAGAGAGATATAGCGGTGGGTTGTGGTTTTGTGGAGGGTATGAGAACTGGAAGGGGGGGGGGAGGGTAGAGACTGTAAGAGGCTTTTCTGGTTCAATCTCCCAGTAACTGTCAGAAGCAGTCAGTCAGTCACCTGCAGATGATGGCGTCAAGGGGGTATCTTGGCCAATCCAGTTACTCATGTTTCAGTTCCTTGCAAAGGTTTGTTGTTCACCACTCTCACACTGAGCTGATGAAGAGAAAAAACATGAAGACAGTTCACACGTGTGTAGTGAATCTTCAAACCACCTTTCGTGCATTAATTTACCTTAATTTTACTTTAATTGTGAGTGCTTTTCTTTCACTCGTTTAACTTCTTTTCTGGTGATAAAATGTTGTATCGGATATGATTGACAGTATTTTCAACATGTGATTTTCTATGAATTTCAATAAACAGATTTTGTGACATTGCTATGACAGAAAATAATTTAACTGACTTAGATATAAACAAATGTTTCCCTTTCTCTCACATGGACACTTCTGTCTGCCTGTCTCTCTATCTGTCTCTCCCCTCTGTCTCAAAGGAGCTAAACTGGCGGCATAAAAGTATTCTGGGATTTGACCTTTGTCTCATTCACAGCTCTGTCTCTCTGAAAAAACAACACACCTCTACAACATGTTAATCCTCAGTGGGGAAAGTGCGTTCAAGTGTCATCTTGACCCATCCTTCTCCTCCTCAGTCCTCCTGCCTCACTCCACCCTACACACCCATCTCACCCCACCCCATCCTGCATTAATGCTCCCAATCCTCTTTGTAGGAGAGTGACGTCTGCTACTGTCAGAAACAGAGTTAAGCTCAGCAGGCACCAGGAGAACAGAGTAGAGAGAAGCTTCATAGATAATCAAGCAGCAGTGCACTCTGGGCCTCTAGAGGGACACGTCTGTGCCACCTCAGCAAGAACTGACTCTCCTCCCGAGGGGCTGCTCATGCCTCCAGCTGGGAGACACGGATTTCTAAATTCAGTGTGCTAAGACTTAATCAACAGGTTAGCTGAAAGCTCTGTGCTCCTGCCTGAGGGCCTTACTGGCCTCAAACTCCGGTGACCAGAGCTGAGAAACAGGAAAACAAACTCTGGACTTTTGTTGCTGCTTCTTCTGCAGTTTTGGGATTATTGAGAAAAATCATCTGGCCATACTGGATGTAAAACAGATGGCAAAACTGCTTCCTCCCAAGTTCAGCTGTGCATGAAAGGTATTTATGTGAACATACACTCAAAGCTGTTTATCAGTGCTGGGAGCTGCTCGGACCACTGTTAACTTGCTGGTAAAGGTGTGAAGCTGTGTGCATGAAACAGGTCAGAAGTGCCGTGACTGTGTGTGTGTGAGTGTGTGTGTGTGTGTGTGTGTGTGTGTGTGTGTGTGTGTGTGTGTGTGTGTGTGTGTGTGTGTGTGTGTGTGTGTGTGTGTGTGGTGTTGGGGCCCTGTGGAGGTCGTAGCCCTGGATTTATTAGAGATGGAAGGTCATGGTTATGACCGGTTTGGAGAAGGGGACAGAGACACTTACCAAATCGACTACCGGAGGATCGTTGGGGATATGGAACCAGAGCGGCCTCACATCTTAAACAGAGATGGGGAACAACCTCTTCCCTACGGGGCCTATGTCCCCCCCTCACCACATGGACATGGGCATGAGACTGCAGCCCAGCGCTACAGTGCTACACGTATCCAAGCTGGATATGAACCAGAGAGGTCAGTCTGTCACCACATGGCTTGGTTGTGTGCTTTTAAAAGCCTGTTTATCAGCTCCCTGGGCAGAAAACCAAATCCTCTTACCTGCACTGCCGTCACAGGTGTATATAAAGAGTGTTCACAGACAAGAACAGATCCCTTTTGTTACTGTTTTGGGTCACCGGTTCAACATTTGCAATAGTCTGCAGCCTGTGTTTAAGAAACAGAGGTGAAGAAAGAAACAAGATAAAACAACATGTTACGCACAAGGGATACATGCATACATGCACCAGTAACTGTGGTCCAGTGAAATATGTGATACATGGTTTGGCGGTAAATGTGTGAATACCAATCAGAGTGATTCAATGGTTAAATCCCCAGCCTCCAGTCAACAAGGGCAAGATAATTAACCCCAAATTATTCCGTGAACTGCATGTCTACAGTGTTGAAGCGTATGTAAGACCCTCTGATAAAAGTGTCAGCTTGATGACATGTAATATAATGTCATGTATTATAATATAACGTTTGTGTCATCTATAAATTGTCCTGTATGTATACAAAAATATTCACACTTGACGTCACACATTTCAGGTATATCATGTTTGCATGTGTGTGGCTCTCTGTGTGTGTTTGTACTCCAGCATGGCAGACTACTTGATCAGTGGAGGCACAGGTTATGTTCCTGAAGATGGACTAACAGCACAACAACTCTTTGCAATCGGCGATGGACTTACATACAAGTAAGAAATGCAAAAAAACACAAAACATAACCGATACATTTTACTACCTCATTTCATGGTATCATACACTGGCATGCATGCATTTGCTCACATGGTATGCTGTTCATGTGCATATACAGAAATACACAGTAGAATTATGCAATCAATGCCTTCCATTAAATGTTTAGTAATATCAGTGATGACACATCTGCCTGGGTATTATATTGTGGATTAGTATGTGTAATACTACTTTCAAGGATGGCTTTCAGACATTAATAGCAGTGGGTGAGTGTGTGTGCACATATCAGTGTGTTAATGGGTGTTGGTGTGGTTTCCTTAATGGAGGCTATATGCAGGGTTTATCAGTGTGCAGAGGATAAATGCAGACCAGTTCAGAGGGTTGACAGATTATGTCTACTCACAGCAACCTCTAAAAATCTGATGCATTGTAGGAATAGAATTTGCTCTGCATAGTTCATCTAAAGCTACATTCATCTTGTTTATGGAGGTCATTGTACTATTAATATGGATTTTTCATTCATGTCATACTTTTTCAGTTCACAATATTGATATTCACCTGTGTCTGTTTTGTCTTTCTTCTCAGTGACTTCTTGATCCTGCCTGGTTTCATAGATTTTACTTCTGTTGAGGTGGTAAGTGTCACAACCCTCTCTCGCTTATCACTCAAGTGACAAACTGTTCCCTGGTGTTTGTTTTGTTAGATTTGTTTTATAGGTGATGCACACAGAACACTTTCTTCATTTTTCATATTTCCTATTGCCCACAAATATCTTCTCATCCTTGGTCTCAATTAAAAAAAATGTTTTGCTGGTAAGTCAAATTCCTGACAATAATTCACAAGAACAGACAAGGTTTGCTGTAATGCTTGTAATGAATCCCTAACTCGTTGTTATGTTCCTTAGAGCACAGGGTTGTTTATTTCACTTGCTTTGTTTTCGTCTTTGCAAGCTCTGCTGGGACTTTAAATTAATGTCATGCCTACTTGCCTAGATCACATGGGTTATTGCTCGATAGCAGGTGTTAAAAACAGACACACCCATGCGTCACCTAACACTCAGCAGGTGGATTCAACAAGGCGGCCTCTAATCGGCCAAGCTGGCTTTTAGGCTCTTACACGGCATACAAAAACCAACCTTAACTTTTGGTTAACAAATGGGTCGCATTGTCCTGTAGCTGCAACACTGCAGGACCTTGCTTCTCAGTAGTATGCCATGTCATTTTAAATGTGTATTTATATCTTTGATTAAAGCTGATGTTTATTTTTTCCAAATGCATGTGATTTTTAGGATCTTACCTCTGCATTGACAAGAAAGATAACACTGAAGACACCTCTCATTTCATCTCCCATGGATACAGTCACAGAGTCATCCATGGCCATCGCCATGGCAGTGAGTAAAAACCCTGCACCACCTTAGACACGCCATACAATGTTTTACACTCAGCTTAGCATCGTCCTGCACCACAGACTCTACCAGGAATATTGAAGGCCTTAAATACATTTTCAGTGTTCATTCATTCATCAATTAATCCTTTCCTCCCATGTCCCTGATTGGTTGTTTTCAGTTGATGGGTGGGATTGGAATAATTCATCATAACTGTACTGCTGAGTTCCAGGCCAATGAGGTCCGCAAAGTCAAGGTAAGATGGACCAAGTTGACAAAATCATAGAGTGACTATTGACATAGTCATCTGTGACACTGTAGCACTAGGGGTGTAACGGTACACGTACCCGTACCGAAATTATTCGGTACGGGCCCTTCGGTTCGGTACAGGTGTGTACCGAAGTGTACCGAACGAATATAACGTTAAACGTAAAAAATTGAGAACGTGAACAACTTGTTGGAAGTAATCTCAGGTGCTGCGTCGCAGCATTCAGAGTAATTTGATCACATTGGGTTCAACGCGTCATAGAGCGAGCAAGTCATTTCATTGGATGAGATGATGCGTTCAAATGTAGTCAGTAATTTGAGGAACTGTCGAAAATTAATGGCGAACGCAGATAAAGTTGAGCTCGAAAATCCTCCAGCATCATTGAAGTCTCCGGTTTGGGAACATTTTGGTTTCGCAGTTACGAACAAGGATGAAGGACAAAGACAGGTGGACCGAACCAAAGCTGTTTGTCGGCATTGTTCAACTAACATTGGTTACGCGGCTGGCAATACATCAAACTTGCACACTCTTGAAAAGGCATCACCCGAACTTGAATATCACCGGTACCAAAAGAAAAAAAGACTGAAGTGCAAACCCAACTCCCGCTAGCATGTAAGCCTCCACCACTCGCAGAGAGTTCAGACCGAGCCAAAGCTATTACAAACGCCAAATATCCTTATGTTGCCTCGTTAGCAAAGCGCTACCTGGCTGTTAGGGGTGTAACGGTACACGTACCCGTACCGAAATTATTCGGTACGGGCCCTTCGGTTCGGTACAGGTGTGTACCGAAGTGTACCGAACGAATATAACGTTAAACGTAAAAAATTGAGAACGTGAACAACTTTTTGGAAGTAATCTCAGGTGCTGCGTCGCAGCATTCAGAGTAATTTGCTCACATTGGGTTCAACGCGTCATAGAGCGAGCAAGTCATTTCATTGGATGAGAGGCATACTATGAGAGCTGGTCAGAGGGATGCGTTCAAATGTAGTCAGTAATTTGAGGAACTGTCGAAAATTAATGGCGAACCCAGATAAAGTTGAGCTCGAAAATCCTCCAGCATCATTGAAGTCTCCGGTTTGAGAACATTTTGGTTTCGCAGTTACGTACAAGGATGAAGGACAAAGACAGGTGGACCGAACCAAAGCTGTTTGTCGGCATTGTTCAACTAAAATTGGTTACGCGGCTGGCAATACATCAAGCTAGCACACTCTTGAAAAGGCATCACCCGAACGTGAATATCACCGGTACCAAAATAAAAAAAGACTGAAGTGCAAACCCAACTCCCGCTAGCATGTAAGCCTCCACCACTCGCAGAGAGTTCAGACCGAGCCAAAGCTGTTACAAACGCCAAATATCCTTATGTTGCCATGTTAGCAAAGCGCTACCTGGCTGTATCTGCTGCCTCTGTCCCTAGAGAGGGTGTTCTCCACAGCAGGAGACATTGTTAGTGCCAGCAGATCTGCCCTTTCAGCAAGCAACAAGTTCATCTTTCTTTAAAAAAACATGAAAATACAATGACAAGCAAGTCATTATGTCAAGCTGGCTGCTTAGGAACTAGTACAGTTCAGTTCAAATACAGATTATTTCAGTTCATCGAAAAGCTGCACCTTAATGTTTATTTTATTTTATATTTTTTTTAGTGAAGATTCACAGTTTAATAAAAAATAAAAAACCCAAAACTAATAGTTTATGTTTTGTGAGTACTAGTAGCCTACAGTAAAGTTCAAATACAGATTATTTCAGTTCATCGAAATGCTGCACCTTAATGTTTATTTTATTATATTTTGTATTTATTTAAGTGAATACATTATTCACAGTTTAATAATAATAAAAAAAAATATATATATATATGTTTTATTTTGTGAAAAAAAATTCTGCTGTACCGAAAACGTACCGAACCGAACCGTGACCAAAAAACCGAGGTACGTACCGAACCGAAATGTTTGTGAACCGTTACACCCCTACTGGCTGTATCTGCTACCTGGCTGTATCTGCTACCTCTGTCCCTAGAGAGAGGGTGTTCTCCACAGCAGGAGACATTGGTAGTGCCAGCAGATCTGCCCTTTCGACAAGTTAATTTTTCTTTAAAAAAACATGAAAATACAATGACAAGCAAGTCATAATGTCAAGCTGGCTGCTTAGGTGCTAGTACAGTCCAGTTCAAATACAGATTATTTCAGTTCATCGAAAAGCTGCACCTTAATGTTTATTTTATTATATTTTGTATTTATTTGAGTGAATATTCACAGTTTAATAATAATTAAAAACCCAAAACTAATAGTTTATGTTTTGTGAGTACTAATAGCCTACAGTAAAGTTCAAATACAGATTATTTCAGTTCATCGAAATGCTGCACCTTAAATGTTTATTTTATTATATTTTGTATTTATTTGAGTGAATACATTATTCACAGTTTAATAATAATAAAAAAAAATATATATATATGTTTTGTTTTGTGAAAAAAAATTCTGCTGTACCGAAAACGTACCGTACCGAACCGAACCGTGACCAAAAAACCGAGGTACGTACCGAACCGAAATGTTTGTGAACCGTTACACCCCTATGTAGCACCCATAACAACACTTTCTCCCAATAATACCTCATTCACAACGGTGTTTCAGGGCCGGTTCGGAGCTGGAGCTTGAAAAGCACCGGGTTTTCCTCTTCACACCGCAGCGGAGCAGCCTCTTAGCTCCGGAATCCGGTTCATTTCAAGCACCAAAAAATTGTCCGACCAGAGCAAAAGCACCACATAAGTCACGCTTACGTCGAGGCGGGGGCAGGGGCAGAGACAGATCAACTCCTGAACAACAACAAAAAGCCCGCGTTTTATCCAGTTTGTACACAACGATAGAGAAACTTAACAAGAGTTTCAGAGTGTCAGTGTTTCTGCCATAAACTGTATATATAAAGGTTTCTGCTCATGGTGAAGCAACGTGTCTGCGTGTTAAAGTGGAACCTGAGCATTCACGTTGATCACCTCTCATTATAAATCTATAAATATTAAACTTTACTTCACGTGTTCATTTGAGAACAGCTGTTACATACCTGGGTGAAGGTTACAGTTCATTTAAATGAAAGATACAACATTACTCCACACTCATGGTTCAAGACCGACCTCGGAAGCAGTTGTGTTTTAAAAAAACCTTTATTGACACGAGTACACTTTTTTATAAGAATATAACTAAACCACAGAAATGACTCCGGAAAAGCTGCAGATAGAGCCATAAAAATGAATGCAACTGATTTCATCCAAGCGGTTTGGCTTTATGAAGCAGGCACGCAAACGGTTACGTCATGACGCAAACGATGACGCAACGACGCATTACCAGTCGGACTCTGGGCGGTGTGAAAAGAGCCAGAGCTAAACCGAAGAACTGGTTCTGAACCTGAAAAGCTCTAGCACGGAGCTTGAACCGGAGTTGCGTTGGTTTGAATGAGGTATAAGAAGAAAACGACTTACATTGACTGGCCTCGCTCTAACCCCTTAAAACTTGTGTTTTTGTTCTTGCCAGAAATTTGAGCAGGGCTTCATTACAGACCCAGTGGTGATGAGTCCTCGACACACAGTGGGGGACGTGTTTGAGGCAAAGACACGCCATGGTTTCTCTGGGATCCCTGTTACAGAGACTGGCAAGATGGGCAGCAAGCTGGTCGGTATCGTCACATCCAGAGACATAGACTTCCTGTCTGAGAAGGACCATGACAGACCCCTGGAGGAAGTAGGTGTATGGCTGTTCATTTGTTCTATACTGTATATTTCGGCTCATTCCCAAACCGCCCCCTACCCTGAGGTATGAAGGGTTAACGTTACATCTTAGGATAATTGTTAGTCATGTTCTGTATACATACTAACATATAAGGGTATACTTAGTGTGGTTACTCCATGTTTACTAGCTATAACATTAACGTTACATCACTCTTTTTCACTTCTTACTCAGTCAGCCAGAGTGCAGATATCACCATTAGATTAACAAACCTGAAACATCATCCATTTCTTCACTGCTGGTGATGACATTGTTGTCAGCTGCTGATACTGCTGCTGCTGCAGCTTGTGGCCTGCTTCAATAACTTTCTAATATCCATAACTGTATAGGCTATTAGCTTAAAACTCGTCAGGCACTAGGAAGGATCACTTCTTCTTCAGGGCAGGCTACGCAGTACGCAGGCTAATGTCCCACAGTGGCTGCCTCTCTTGTGGACTCCGGTACTGCACATTACTCCCGAGACGTTTTCAAAAAAAATTGTTTTAGTTAACATTTTTTTTATTTTTTTTAAGTGAAACATCCGGGGCTTTTCAGAAAACATCCGGGGCTTGAGCCCAAGTAGCCACCCTCTAGCACCGCCACTGTCCGCCATATTGAGGGCTGTTCCAAAGCAACGAGTGTGGAAGTGTGGAGCGGTGTGGAGGGGGAGTGGGCTATCAAGCCCTCAAACAGCGAGTCTGCAGCGGTGCTGACTTGAGACCGGTCTCTACCATAGACTGGGTTGCGTTCCGATAATCCAAAAATCAGCTCCTAAGTTCTAACCCTATCTCCTATTCCTTGACCTCTGAGTGAAACGTCACGGGGTTAAGGGATAGTGGATAGGAGAATTCAAAAGGACTTTGGAGAAGAGACCGCGGTACTTTAGAGAATCCGAATGCACTTTCACTATCCGACGTGTTTATGATGCGCCAGCGGACGTCATGAATGTGCGTGTGCTGCTGTGGGGAAACTATGGAAACTACAGTTTTCTACACAGCGGACTACAACATGAATGTTTAATAAGAACGAGGGACTACTGTAAACTCATCTAGAGACTCTGCACCGTGCTCTGATGCTGTTGCTTTATGCTTTATGAACGTGGACAACAGAGAAACATATTCATCATGACCAAAGTTGGAATTGAAATAAAAAAGGAAAGTGAAACGTATGCTCGTCACCCTCTCCCTCCGGTCCACATTAATACAAATGATCCCAATACGTATGATTGTATGAAAATATCTTAAAATCAATACAAATGTATTTATTATAAACGTTAGTCCTTAACATCTATCACTGTGTATATCACCATTCAAACATCTTTTAAAAGTTGAACAAACTCCACACAGCTCAGTAAAGACTGAGATGTTGACTTTATTTGATAATTTCAGTAAAAACTAACGTTCATATTTCTCTTTTTGATTATAATACTGATGAACGTTCAGAAAAAAGCACTTTGGCAACTTACCACATACGTTTTAAAATGCTTAATAAGCACCGTAACTTTCATGATATAATTTATCGGTCATAATCAGTTGTTTCCGTGAACGGCCGACTGTTGTGATGGCAAATGCTGCGGCTGCAATGCATTGTGGGGCAGCATTTTCTCCTCTCCTTTCGGTTAGGGAGGTCCAGTGGTTCCTAAGCTAAAGGAGGTTATAAAGGAAGTTTGAAACCTCCTTTCCTTTCATTTGGAGAATTGGAACGGCACTTATCATGGCTGCCAGTGACGTACTTCCGGGTCATTTCACTCCGTTAGGAAGGTTCCTAAGCTAAATGGACTATTGGAATGAACATCTTTGATAATGTCTTCTGGCCAATCAGAATCAAGATAACGGCTTGGTGTTGTTCCAGGAAGTCCCGACGGAGAATACTTTTGCTGTAGTACATCTCTATACATCGATACAACATTACGTGTTGATAGAAATCAACACGTAATTAAATAAGACCCCACGGTTTGATGATTGATAGGTGCAGGGACGTGCACAGGTACGGGCTTTTTGGCTGACCTGCCCCTCTGGAGAGAGCGAGAGTTTATTTTAATTGTTTCTGTTGTGGCCGAATCAACATGATAAGCCCACAATTAGTAGCGTCTCGCTGCGGGAAACACACTTTGTCAGCGCTGTCATCTGCCGGTGCGTTAAGACCACCTCAGTGTCGGATTTTGGAAACTTGATTTTGAGTTGTCTCATCATGGCAGTTAGGGACAAACCAGGGGACTTTACTTCCTCTTGATACCGTTGGTTATTTACAAAAAAACACCTAAATATCGCCTACTTGTTGTGATTGTGTGTCTTTTCATCTGTAAACTCCGTCAACGGGGCCGCTCGCTCTCTTTTCTTGATCGCCCTCTCATGGGTGAATACTTCACTGTCCCGCTTCATTGTAGAATTTCTGCCATGTCTCTACCACTTTAGTTTGACCATCTCTGTTATTAAGTTACGGTATACTAAATAGCCTAAATAAGTAATTAGATACCTTACGTTACTGGCTGCGCTCATAATGATAAGAATAAGAATAATGCGTATTGAACTGGTTTCATTAATTAGTGAGTTTATTTAAGGTAGCCTAGTTAGAAGCAGGGGTTAAGTTGGGATTTGATATGTAGGGGGGGGGCTCTGTGTGGAGGTGCGAGAGGGGGGGGGGGGGGGGGGGGGGGGGGGGGCGGAGGTCGAGGATCTCATTATTTGACCTTAAGGGATATAGGCCTACACTGTTGCCCTAAAGCAACTGCTCCATTATCTGTATCAAATGCAGACATTGATGCCACCAAATGTCACAATAAAAATAGAAAGTACTACAAATAAACTGGAATTCATTTACATCTTAAATTATGAATATATATACACAAAAAAAGGTTTACAAATATCCAACCTTCAAATTGCTTTTTTAAATCAACACTGCTCTGCACACTTGCTAAAGAACATCTGTGTGGAAATCTCAATTCATTTGTAGGGCTGCGTGAGTATGGCCAAAAGTATGGGAGTAAATCTCACTGTAAACTATTTAATCATCACCAAATTCTGTGTTATTATGACCGATCATAACTCAGCTTTATGCAGACATATTTAGCATGGTGTACAGGGCCGCTTCTTGGCGCCAGATCTGGGGGGGGGGGGGGGGCGCTGCGCTGGCAGCTCTGGGAGGGAAAAAAACATTTTGACTGTTTGCGCTCATCCTAATTTTCGACCTTGATGTAACAACATTCATAATTAAGTCAAGGTAACACCCTTTTCACCCCGGTTACACTTTTCATTTGCCCTGTACGATGGGCGCTGTAAGTGATGAAAGTGGGGGGTGATGGCTTATCAGGCGTCCGCAGCTCACAGCCAAAGTGGGTGTGGGATCGAGCGAGAGAGATAAATGCAATTTATGTAAACAAATATTTCCAAGGCACTCTTTTATAATTATTGGGGTAAACAGGTTTGAAATCATTTCAATGTATACTATAGGACAGAATACCAAAAATATCGTTTAAAACTTGAGAGATACAAAAATATGCATAAATAAATGTTAACTAGGTAAAATAAGATATGAATGAACAACAAAAATAAAATAAGTTGCATTTATTTGCTATTGGCTATGGTAGGTTATTGGTTATGTTCACATACTTATTTGATTATTAAAATGGAAACCAATCTTTTTCATATGGGTGTTTTACGGCCCGTCCACACAGCAGCGTGCGTTGAAAGCTTCACCATTCACTTTGAATGGGGTGACGTCACTTTGCTGGCGTGGCTCGCTGCAAAAGTTGAGCAATGTTCAAGTTTTGAAGCCACGGCAGAAGCGTCAGCCAATCGAATCATATGCCAGTACAAGCTCTAGCCAATCAAAACGATGCTTGTATGTCAGGGGCGGGAGATTCATGTGATTGGTTGTTGGTCGAGTTTCAGACACGCCCGCCGGCAAGCTTCAACGCACGCCGCTGTGTGGACGGGCCGTTAGAGTTGTACCCCCTAGATCAGGTCTCTAGTAATGTGTGCTCTAAGTGCACCAGATTGAAGCATTTTACTTTAAATGTTCAAACATTTCTTCCCGGGGGGGCATACCCGGACTGGTTAGAGGCCCTATTTTATCAGTATGTCTGGACTGCACAGCAGTTACAATGGTCAAACTACATTAGAACAGAATTGTCCCCATTTTGTCTTTAATAGTTACTAACATTAGATATTTTAATGAGATACGGACCGCAAAACAAAAAATGTCCCTGATTTTCATTTTTGAAATTAAGTCACCGAATGCAAGTAGTCGCCTTAGCTTATTTTGTTATGAGATGTGAATTACGGTTCAATTTAGTTGATGTAATAATCATTTGGTTTATTTTACATTAAAATAAGGTCTTATGTGTTTTTTCGGGGGGAGGCCCTTTTTCCAGTTTAGAGCAATAGACCCTCCAAATGTCTGTGCACGTCCCTGGATAGGTGTGTGGGCTGTCTTTCATTTTGACACACAGAACAATGGGGGCTATCCACCCTTATCCACAATGTAAAGTAATTCACACAGCCTCTCCCCTCTTCTCTCTGTGAGGAGCAGCAGGTTCAGCTTTCAGAACAAAGTAACAAAAAACTAAAATGGCATTAATTTTTTTAATATGTCGTGTAGTAATAGATTTATTTATTTTTATTCTCAAGAGAGTAACAGAATGTGTATTTTATGTTAGTAGCCTATTTCAAAACTAAAACAAAAAAAATCTCCTGGGGGAGAATCCCCCCAGACCACCTTGCAGGGGTTGGGTTTTCAGCATGTCAACTATTTCATCTGTGGAGAAATTGCAGGATTGGCTCCAGGTCGCCCTTTTTATAAGACTAAATGTGCCTTTTTATTTCATACAGTTCAATTTGGATTGAGACAGGGAAATAATCTAAACCTCACGCGTGGCGTTTCACTGTCAAGGGGAGCGTGTATGTAATTACATTGCAAATACTGACATGAGCCCCACCACTGTATGGGTTAGCCCCAGTGGCGGCTGGTGGAAAATATTTTTGGTGGGGCTTTTGATATAGTGAATAAAAAAAAATGTTTTGGGAGAAATGACCCCTTAAATTAGGACTTCTGGTGATGTAATGGCGCGTTTCTAGTGCAGCGCGGAGCTCGCTTTAATGCTGCGTTCAGACCGGACGCGATGCGAATATTCGCTTCGCTCTAAACGCTCCTATCGCATCGCTCTAGTCGCTCGAGTTTCACAGCGGCTGCCAGCTGTGTTTACTCGCATCATTCAAACAAGACGCGCTGGCTCGGGAGCTACAACTACAACAAAATGAACATATTTTACCGTGATTAAATTGTAATACACGTTTCTAAATGATGCCGACGTAACAACATACTGATACCGGTTAGTAAAAACCATGAATTAATGCTTTGACAAGTCTGCAGACAGACGGCAGGCGAAAAACCTTTTAGAATGCTTGTTTTCTGAATGGAGCTTGGCTAAGCTAACGTTATATATGTTCCGACCGTCCACACTCGCAACAACGGCCTATACAGACATAAATAAACCAGCGACTGTATTCTCCATGACACAGACAGTCTGTGGTTTGTACTTGTTTAACTTTTGTCTAGTTTCTGAACAGATCGTATCTGTCCCCGGCTGTTTGAAGAGCAAGCATGGGAAACAAAAGATAGCATTTACCTGTTTGCATCGTTTGCATCCAGCTAGCCTCGTTGATACGTTTTGTCTTTTTCACGAGCTTGCTGTGATATATACAAATCGGGTTGGTCCGGTCCAAGGTCTTTAAGTATCCATTTATCTCCCAAACTTCTCCTTTGGAAAGGATTGGAGAGTAGCTCTTGCACGGAATTGGGTGCGGACCGAGGTCCGGCGACTCCACCTGCACACCATTCTAAATACTGCGTCACCTTGGTCACTCACGAGTCTAAAAAACAACTCACGTCACTTAAGCAACGTGGGCGCCAACGTGAGCGCCCTCGTGACCAAAATATTTGACGGCGCTGATTGGCTGAAATTATGTTTCGGCGGCACAGTTTACTATTGAGACTTTTGCAACGTGCTGGTTGCTGCTGTTTGTCTCGGGGGCTCCGCCCGGTAATGATAAACTAATGCCATGGGCAAGGCCAGGCAGGAAACATGTGACTTATCAGTAACTTTAGACATCGTAACACAATTTTAAACGAGATTTTATTGTAGATTATACATTTTACTGATACCAATTGTATGATATTTACCTTGTTCATTAAAAATAAAAATATAAAATATATATATTTTTTTATATATTTTTTTTTAATATATATTTTTTAATTTAATATTTGTTTTTATATATATTTTTTAATGTGGGAAGAGGTGGGGTGGCGCCCCTAGCGCCCCTATAGGCCGGCCGCCACTTAGCCCTACCATAGATTACCCAACAAAAATACTCTCTCGCAACTGCTCATGCTCAGATCTAAGAACCAGTAGAAATGATAAAAAAGTAAAAGTCTGCTGCTTATTGTTCTACTAGGCCAAAATAGAGTCAAAGAGTATATGAGAGTGAGAGTGTGTTAATTAATATATTTGGCAGTTTGGAGTAAGTCTGTAGATTTGTTTGTGTGTGTGTGTGTTTCATGTATAGCTCTCACGATAATTAATTTTGTTGGATACATTTTCCCGGAAATTATTGCGATAAACGATAATATTGTCGGCACCGTTGTATGACCATTTTATACCACTGACATAATGATAATATATAATAATAATTCAAGTACATCCTTTCAAACTGCTAGTCACATCCTCATGTAAATGGCAATTTATCGAGTTCATTTTTATTTATCGTACGATACGTCAATTAATTGCTTATCGCGACAGGTAGGCCTACACAATAAAACAGTGGAAACAAACATGTGTTTGACTTTCAATAGTGAATGAAACTTTCCAATATTGTGTATTTGTATATATTGTATATATATCCTATATATATATAGACTATGCTAAGGTCCCGCTGCTGACACGATAGCAGTAATTTCGTGCGCATATGTAATTAAACCCATGATATCAAAATCTCACTCCAGCCAGGTACCCAAAGTTGGCAACCCTGATGAAAGATGTTTGGAGTTTTATTTGAGTTATTCATTTAAACTTTTTGTCTAAGAGATGCAGATTTGAAACCGTTGTTACATACAGTTACGGCATTTCCTGTTTCTGCCGGAGAGAGGGGAGGCCGTCCCAAAGCTTGCTGCTGTATTTACTCCCTCCATCTGACAGGAGGGAGCCTCGTTGAGCTGCGAGTGTGGCTACAGACGGAGTTCACTCCGTCACGGAGGGGTAGGGTCGAGGGAGTGGTTTGGGATTGGGCCATATACACAGTATATTCAGCAATTATGTCAAAGAAGTGGGTGGTTTAGCGATGAACGTGTACTTTACTGTTTGAATCATTAAAATGTCTTTTTGATTCAGGCAATGACAAAAAGAGAAGATTTAGTTGTTGCCCCTGCTGGAGTCACACTGAAAGAGGCTAATGATATACTGCAACGTAGCAAAAAAGGTAAATATGTGAAGTAGGCCACGCTACTGTGAGGCAAAAGTACATTTATCTTAGATTCAAAAGCACATTTTGGAATTTCTCTTTCGTCCATCACTCACTTTCTTCCCACTCTGGCTCTGCTAGGTAAGCTCCCCATAGTGAATGACAGTGATGAGCTGGTTGCAATTATTGCAAGGACCGACTTGAAAAAGAACAGAGATTATCCTCTGGCTTCCAAGGACTCTCGCAAACAGCTGCTGTGTGGAGCTGCTATTGGCACGAGGGAGGACGACCATTACAGACTGGACCTCCTCATGCAGGCTGGAGTAGATATGGTCGTTCTGGTAGGTTGTGACTATAATATGATTAATCTCTGGGTTAGTTCTAGACTGGATTCTGATTGCATAGAACACAACAGTCAGGATAATTCCTCAACCTCTTTATATAGGTATAGGATTCATGTCAAACTATTTGTCCTTGATATTTAATATTGAATATGAACTATTCCAATTTACTTTTTTTGTTTAAATTTGAGATACAGTTGGTGCCTGATCGCTCATTGAAACAAATGAACTTTCTTTGCATAACAGGATTCCTCCCAAGGAAACTCAGTGTATCAGATCAACATGATAAACTACATCAAACAGAAACATCCTGAACTACAGGTAGTCGGAGGAAATGGTAAGCTCTCTACTTGCCTCAGGGCTTTCTTGTGCATTTATGGTACTACATCTCCCTATTTATCTTCCCTATTTATCTTCCCCATATCTCTCATGTTAAGCTCTTTTCTTTGTGTCTCCCTCTAGTGGTGACAGCTGCTCAGGCCAAAAACCTCATTGACGCTGGTGTAGACGCCCTAAGAGTGGGCATGGGATGTGGCTCCATCTGTATCACACAGGAAGGTATGATAAATAATGCAGCCATGTCAACAACAACCAGTCTATTTTTATTATTACATGTAACACAGGTTTATACCATACACTATTGCTCTTGTTCCTCAGTGATGGCATGTGGACGGCCCCAAGGAACATCGGTGTACAAGGTTGCAGAGTATGCTCGACGTTTTGGAGTGCCAGTTATTGCTGATGGAGGCATTCAAACTGTTGGACATGTTGTGAAAGCTCTGGCTCTGGGCGCATCTACAGGTAGAAAAGCGTTCTAGTGCTTTCTGAAGTCTTATATGTTATAATTTGACTTTTTCCTCAAATAAAAACAGTATAGTATTTTTGACCTTGCCTGTTGTCTTCTGCAGTCAGCATAACTTTTTGTTGCCCTCCATGTTTTTGCCCTCAGTGATGATGGGGTCGTTGCTCGCAGCAACCACTGAAGCCCCAGGAGAATATTTCTTTTCAGACGGTGTGCGTCTGAAGAAGTACAGAGGAATGGGCTCCTTGGACGCCATGGAGAAAAATAACAGTCAGAAACGCTACTTCAGGTGAGGGATTGAGGTTACAGAGGCCCTTTGAAAAATGTACAGTCATTGGATGTCAATGTGATACATTTATGTCTCTCTTTATGTGAATTGTGTATCCAGCGAGGGAGATAAGGTGAAGGTGGCTCAAGGTGTCTCAGGATCAGTAACAGATAAAGGCTCCATCCATAAGTTTGCTCCTTATCTCATTGCTGGTATCCAACATGGCTGTCAGGACATAGGAGCTAAGAGTTTGTCGATTTTAAGGTAAGCATGTGTGCGTGTGTATAAGCTATTTGGTGTATAAGGGATTTCGATTTTTAACGAGGTGTCTTTGCACCAGGTCCATGATGTACTCTGGGGAGCTGAAGTTTGAGAAAAGAACCATGTCCGCTCAGATGGAAGGAGGAGTCCACGGCCTTCACTCGTAAGTCTGAACTTTGACCCCTAGATTCTGACCTTTCCCCTTCCTCTTCAACACCTGTGACTTTAACTCTGCAGTCCAATCTCTACAGACTAATTATATTAGTGGCAGAGGTAGTTTGTCTGTCCTCACCTGTTTCCTCTCTAAATATGTAACATTGACTTTATAACAGTTAAGGCACTAACAATCTAAGTGTGTATTTTCTCTTCCTCTTTTCTGACCCATGCTATCACATTAGATATTCTTTTGTGCCATGTAAGTACATCCCCGTCATAATCCCACCTCCATCTTCTTCTTTCATTCACTCATCACCATCCAAGTTTGCTTTGTTACTGTTGAATTGTTATGGAAACATAGAAAACACTTACATTCTTTATTTAATTTGTCATGCTTAGTTACGAGAAACGACTTTACTGAGAGTGGAGGAAGAGGAAACACTCGCCTAGGACCAAATGTCCCGATCCCAGCAGCTATGAGCAGAGGCACCGGGCGCATGTGATCAAGCTCAACACCATTCACACTCCAACACTGTCTTGTCTCCTCATTGACCCCTCCCAAGATAAACAAAACAAAACACCTTAAGGTGAATTTGAAGATTCATCTTTGCACTCTTTCAACCACTCATGTCCCCACATAAACTCATTATCTGTCTTTCTACCCGTGGGGCCAAGGTCTAGTTAAGGTAATGTAATTAACTATTCTCTTGATCCCCTTCAACAAGCAAACTGATTTAATTAACTACTTTAGGACAAGCTTATCATTGCTGACGTAATAAAAGGCCCCTTTCTTGTTGACCTTCAAACTGCACCATATAGATACTGGATTATACAACAAGGCTTACAGAGGTGCAGCCCTATGCCTCCATGCACATTTTGTATTTATAACAAGATATTTTTGCAGAGAATCTAGCAGTTAGATATTTTATTAACAAAAGAAGGATAAAAGGTATTTGGCATAAAGTTTCAACATTTTATTTTATTAAAAGAATAAAGAACCAATATATTTGATGGTTTCACTATCAGCTCTCTGCTGACACTTTGTGTATAAAGCTAACCAAGCCTGAAAGAAACTCATAGTAGGTCAAGTAAAATGTTGTTCTCTTTAGCTTCTCACAACAGTTATATCTTGTTTAAGCAAATACCTTGCATGTAATTTCACCTCTAGCCGATGAGCTACCTAAATGTACTGCTGCTGTTTCAGAAGGGACCAAAGCATAGCATCAGCTTTAATTCATACATACATATTTGTAACAAGGAGCGCTTTAAAGTGATAATGTGAAATCGCACTAGATATTCCGCTGTTCACTTTATTTGGCACAGAAAATACTAATTAACACAATATGTGATTGACAAGACTGAAGACTACACATTTTAGTGTGATTATAATTGACAAATATCACTGTCATTTTGAATTTCCAATACAGATGAGTCTGTGTCACATTGGTTCTACGTGTTTTGATGTTCCATAGTTTCATTTTGCAAAAAGAACATGGTAAATTAATTAAATAAAAGGTTTATATTTGTATATAATACATAACATAGGTAGTTATTTGTCCTTTTTTCAGGCTCAGTCTTTAAACAATTAAATGCTGAGTCAATGAAATAGAGCTATGAAGTCAAGTTGGATTTATTTCTTGATAAAATTGTGAGCAAATGTGAATCCAAGTTAATTTATCAGTTTTTAAATGTGATTTATTTGTCTGGGCGGTACTTACCATCTTTGGTATTACACATGTTGGTCCACGATTAACAGTGGGACTTTATTAGTAATGACATGCAGCTAAAGAGCTAAGCTATTGAACTGGCTGACCAAATTATTTTACAGTTCCTAATAATTTAAATATATATATATGACTTGTATCTTGTAATGTATATTTTCTTCTATCACTCATAAGGCTTTCAAATTAAAATCTCTGTAAATAGTGTTGCATGAATAAAGACAATTCTGACAAGGTCATATTCATATTGTTTTATTTTCTCTCTTATATCTCGAGAAAATCCCACATTTGACTTATTTGACTAACAAGTGAAATGTGTTGTTACCACTAGATAACACTATTTTCAAAATGTTACTACTTCAATTTTAAATTCAAGCCTCTCACATTAACTGTGGGCCCAGTGTTTGCCTCCCTCCGGTAGATTAAAAAAACCTCAGATTATTGCATATCACTGTAGGTGCTACAACATTCTTTACATGTATCTTTTAAAAAGATAATTCTGACATTGTTGGCCAAGCAGGAAAAACATGGAAGAAAACTCATCCTGTATATGACTTTGTTTTGAATTTCCAAATGTATTACATCACGCTGAAACACATAATAATCAATTTTATGAATGAACTACATGCCAAAAATGTTTGCTCATAGTAGTTAATGTTTGCCCACTCTGTACACAACTCAATAAACAGCTAGATACTGATCATGTGTTGGCAAAATATTATGCTTCAAACACATCTGGCACTCAATTATATTTGTATTTGTCTACCTTTAGGGTTAGAAGTCAAAGAAGCGTATCTCAATATTTGTAAAATGTCTCACTATTCACTATTGAAAACAGAACAGTAGATTAATGGTGTAGAACGAGCCTTTGTTTGATTCAATATTGTCTGTTCTCTCTATTAAAGAAGGCTTTCCTTTACCTGTTTATCCCTTTAAAAAAAAAAAAAAAAACCTCAACATGTCAGTTATATAAATATTAAAACTCCTGCTTTAGATGAAAGCAAAGCATTTGCAGTCTTGAGCAATATATTGACATTCATGAACGTGTGAATGGAATGACAATTTCAGTTAAAATACCACAAGCTGATAAAGACAACCTTTACAATCACATTTTGAATATCATATCAACAGTACAGTATTTATACAAAATAAATTAGATCTACATAATAATGTCCATATCAATATTCCCCAGTTAAGGTAGATATTTCCATCCGTATAACTTATATGATTTACAATTGAATTACTTAATCTAACAATATCAGGGTCTGCTTTTTCTGTACAATGTCAAGTGCATTTAAATCCGAACTGGACATTTATAATTCAATGGTGTCACTGCAAACACTCAGAGTGTCAATTTGTCTGCACACGTTGACAAACTCTGCCTGAACAGCCATATCCCATTCAAGCTGTTTGCTTTCACTCAGGTGTTTAGTCTCTGCCAGTTGTCCTGATCCACGACTGTCCTGGGAGGCTAAGCTCAGGGTTCGGTAGTGCCTGTAGTAAGACAGGTGGGGAATTGCTTGTGGGAGGCTGCTCTGAGCAAAGTTCTGACCCCTGTTTGCCCAGGAGTGCAAGCGTAGTTTTCCGTTCTCTTTGGGATTGCTGCACAGACCCTGGGTTGAACCAGAGACGCTTTCTTTCCAGTCCCATTGCTCTGGTGATATTGTTTGCTTGCAGTGAGATGTCAAAGAGCTTTGTGCCTGGGAAGCCCCTGATCTGGATAGGGCATTCTCTTGATCCGCATCACCACAGGAAGAGGTTCGGTAGAGGGCATTTTCCACAGAGCTAGGCCCTTGGTTAGACGCATCTTGGCTAGGAGAGCTCAAAGAGAGGCTGGAAGAAGCGTGATAGAGTCCTGGCAAACCAAAGATACTGTGAGAGAATATGGATTCACTGAACAGAGCCTGGTCAATGCTGCGGGACAGGTCTATGGGAGAAGGGGGCCGCAGATCCAGTGTAGTGTCTGCATCCAGTTCCAGGCGATCCAGTGATGATAGCTGGGACTCAACTGCATTTTTATGCTTGTGCGGTGGGGTTGGGGGTGTAGGGAGCGGCAGTATGGTGATCTGGGTTTGTCTGGACTTGGAGACTAGCCCATTTCCAGTAGAATCCAGCATTGAGAAAAGAGGAAGTGCCTCTGACTGTCCTTTTGTGGAAACATCACAGACCACCAGCTTTTCTTGCTTACCTTGGGACCAAGTATCGTGAGAGGAGAGGATAGGCAAATCTGCATGTCCCTGAGAGGGCAGGGTGAGCCCTCGTGAAGGGGAGCTGCAGGAGAGGCGGGACCAAGACCCTGGCCGGGGACGAGTTATAGTCTTGATAGAGGAGTTACTGTGACAGAATATAGGGTGTGAACCAATAATTGACAAGCCCAGACACACCCCAACCTCACAGAGTCTGCAGCCTACCTGGTAACCCCACCAAGGCCAGGGCTGGAACCCATAGCCATCGACCCCTCCTAAACCAAGAGCATGCAGGATCCCATAAAACTGGAGGCCTCCACATCCTAACAAACACAACGAAGCTCCTACTCCAGCCCCTGCTGCCCTGCCCCAGTCCTCCACTTTGGCAAAGGGGCAACTCGCAGGTCGCATCCCTTCAGGAGATCCTCCACTCTCTTCGTTGTCATTCAGCCTGTAGATGTGTTTGGTGTTGAATTGCATCAAGCAGTAGAAGATTAGGTAGGAGCCAGAGAGAAAGATAGTAAGACATACAAACAAACCCTGAGGGAATAGCAGGATCGCAAAGGGGAGGCTGTGGAAGAACTGAAGCAAGCCAACACACCCCAGAGAGACCCCAGAATACAACAGGGACATACACAGTAACAGGCAAGGTTTAGGCAAGGCTGTGAACAAGGTGGAGTTAGCAAGTGGGAGTGAAAGATGTGAACGGGAGCGCAAGGAAAGAAGAAGGAAAGCAAGGGAGAAGGCGGAAATCAAACAGGGGAAGGGCAGATTCGAGAGAAGCAGAGAGCTCAGAGGGAGAAGACGATCTTGGTGATTGTAAGCATCATAGAGCAAACAGAAAGCTTGGATCCCGGCAAATGCTAGGAGGAACAAGTGCAGAAGGGTGAAGTAGGGGCTTCCCGGAGGACATCGCAGGGGCAGGCCTAAAAGGCAAACTACAGAGATTAGGCCGAATATGGTAAAGACAGACCCCAGTCCATACACATGTGCTTCCCATGCAAATCCCCATGTAGCGAGGGCAGAGTTCCAGTCCGAATACAGAGGGACAAACAGCACAGGGCTAAGAGGCAGAGAGGGGCGCACGGACTCGTCAGGGGTAAAATCCTCCGGGTAGGTGGGAGTCCACGACTGGTTTGAAGGTTTGCAGATTGTGCCATTGGTGTTTGAGAGAGGCGGGTTATCTTCTTTGAGGTCATCTGTAAAGAAGTATAAATAAAGGAAACATTACCGACCTATTTGTTGTATCAACAGAGAACCACAAGGTAGACATTTTAAATGCACACATAACTGATGTTCTCAGTTGGCAAATGGCAGAAATCACCTGGGGAACTTCAGCAGGCTGATTATGACATTTTAATAAAAGGGACATTCATTTACAAATGAACTAACCGATTGATACAGGTCAAAGTAAATTATACCCACAGTCTTTATTTTCCAAAAAAGGGGAGAATTTGCCATGTTGGAAGTTAATCCATTATAAAACAGAGCATGCTTGTAACCGAGAATCTCTAACTGGGTCACAGAGAGAGAGAGAGTGTGTGTGTGTGTGTGTGTGTGTGTGTGTGTGTGTGTGTGTGTGTGTGTGTGTGTGTGTGTGTGTGTGTGTGTGTGTGTGTGTGTGTGTGTGTGTGTGTGTGTGTGTGTGTGTGTGTGTGTGTGTGTGTGTGTGTGTGTGTGTGTGTGTGTGTGTGTGTGTGTGTGTGTGTGTGTGTGTGTGTGTGTGTGTGTGTGTGTGTAACATAGAGAGATGTGTGTTGATTAGCCAGTATTGACCTCATTGCTGCTCTCATTCTGTGTGGCTATTATTAAGCACGGTCAAGAGGTGCTATCATATTTGTTACATACTTTATTTAAGAACAAGCAGTCATATTAAATGTACATAATGCACCAGTGATTGTGTAACTAATAAATAATGTAGGCACTTTATCTCTTGGAGGAAATCATTCAAAGTAAGCAGTATGGAGCCTTCTGGTTATAACTGGAATGTGTCCTATTTCTGGTCCTCCATCATAAGTGATTGTGTCAACACAAGCAGAGATATATTCTAAGCCCAGGATTTTGTCAGTAATATTTGATACATTTACTCATCAAACAGTAGATTTGGCTGACAATTGTGTATTAAATGTGTAGGCAACTTGAAGAAGGCTCACTTCTCGCACAGTTCTGTTAAAGCCCTCCTCCCCTTATGCTTGTGGACAACACATCATTTACTTTGACAAGTGAGTGCCATCATTTGTGTGTGTACAGTAAATACTGCAGATGTGCACCACATTATCTTGTAACCTTTGAGTGTGGGTAATAAAAGCTGTCGGTAATAAAGGAAATGTTTTTATATCAAAGAGATAGTGGAGGAATGAGTGGGAGAACCTGTGATAAAAGGATTGAGAGCGGAAGAGAGGGGAGAGAGGGTTTAGGGACAGTCGGGGGGAAGTTTCAGGAGAGTGAACGCTCGGAGGAGTGAAGTGATGCAAACCATTCTGTGAATGTAAAATAATTGTGTCTGCAAGCAGAATACATATTGGAAACACTGCAGTCACAGACCTGGAGTCTTGTGGATTTTATTTTAGGTATTTAATGAGACTATAAATCTTACCATTCATGATATAGGCTATAAGGGTTTGTTTAATCATGTTCAGTAAATCATGCATGCTCCAAATGCATTACATTTCAAGGCATGACTCTTACCTTTATCTTCTTCTATTCGGACCGCTCCTTTGTTTAAATTAAGTCCTGTAATATCAGTCATTCCATCTTTGCTCTCTGTCACTGGGACAGTCCCCTCTTGTGTCTCTCTCTGCCTGATACCAGGGCCCGTGGTCCATCGCCATGTGGCTGCTGTTGGAGTTGGGCGCTCAAGGCCAGGCCAAGGTCCACCAGAGACCGTTGTTGTGGAGTCGTGGCCTGATGGAATTGAGCCAGACAGAAGAAATGGTAACTGGGGGACAATCTTCTCATTATTCAAAGCTGGGAAAATCGGCCGATTCTCTCCAGTCCGTGTAAAATGCAAAGTAGATCCAGTACTCGTTTCAGCTGGCTGATACTTTGATGTCTGAGGTGGTACGCCTTCTGGTGATGGTCCTACTGGTTGTGTTCTCTCCTTGGAGGTCGTATCTTCTGTAGGACTCGATATGACATGTCCCTTCTCCTTAAGAAACACATTCGATTTCTCTACGCTGTCCTGTAAATCCTCATATTCTCCAATCACTCCTTGTCTATCTAACTCCTCAGATGACAATAAAGGCAAACTCGCAGGTAGACCCAGAAATGTGACATTCTCAGTCCTAAACATAGGATTCCTTGCTGCTAAAGCGAATCCATTATATTTATGTGGGAGCTTTGATAGATGCTGCACTGCTGTATCTGGCTGTTGTGTTTCCTTAACATTTTCTCCAGTAAATGCTATGACATGGAAAGAGAGAGGCAAGTAGAGGGGGAGAAGAAGATACAGATTCCACAGAGAGAACATGGTGAGGGTCTACAAACTCCACCGCAATGTCACATGATGAAGGTTTCAAGGGATGTTGGCCTATCACATGTTTGACAGATCTTTAACCCCGGGTATCTGAAGACCTGATGCCTAATACACCTGTGGGAGAAAGAAAGGTTACTCTCATGCAGGACACTATAAGTACAACCACATATCAAACATTGTGTATATGATATCTCAATAAATAGCTTGAATTTCTTCATGTTACTAAACACCTATACCTCCTTCATCTATAATGTCTTCTGACTTAAACACTGTACACACGTTACAATAAAAAGATTAATTCTTAATAACAGCAAATACAAATCAATACACAACTGCTTTCTTGTAGCCGGTCTCAGTTCAGCTTTCTTACCTCATCAATCCACTCTCTGCTGCATCCTCTTTAAACATATATGCTCCTCCATGTTGCTGCATGCCTGCAGTCTCTCTCTGCGTAGTGCTCTGTGTCCTTTCATACTCACTGTGCTGTGCCCCTCTTCTCTCCATCCGACAATCAACACATGGGACGGACAGACCCCACCTCCCAGAGACAACCCCCGCTGTCCCACTCTCTGCCGCTGCACTGATCTGACAGCCTGTTTGCACAATCCCGTTCTCCTAAATCTGAGGCATCATACACACCACACTAAGTATCATCTCTTACTGCTGTCTCTGTTCATCACACCGCTCACACACATCCCTCTGGTACGTTATAGGCTGCATGTGATATTCAGTATGAAAAAATAAGTGAAGAGGAAGGGGGGAAAAAGGAAATAAATATGTCATAGGGGCCATAACACGATCGTCAACCATCCGGCAGGCAGTACCCTGCACTGAGCGAACCAGTGCTACGGATCAATACATCCTATTGAGTTTAATCTACAACTGATGCTGTGCCCTTCCTATTAAAGTAGGGTTCACTCAGTTGGTGTCACAATCAGTATATGCGAAACGAGAAAATTATCTTTGAATAGCAAACATGCGTAATGAATGCTAGTGGTTACTTGTGTGCATTTATCTGAACATCTCAATTACCATCTGTCACCTTGATGCAATGCCATTACTTGACATGAATGACAATTTTCTGGTTGTGCCATGTTACTCTCTTCTTTTATTTTCTTGTTCGTGTGTGCTTTTTTGCCCAATGGGGGGAAATCCAGTAGCCTCGTGGCCTAATTCAATTCTCGAGGACAGTCCTAAAATAGACACTGATCCACATACCTTAGGATGCATTTAAAGTCGGAGTTTAAAGCATATTAACACGATGTGTCTGTGTGGCTGATGTAAGGATCTGAAAAGTTCTCCATAGGCCTTTGCTGAACTATCAGGAGACATGAATTTCTAAACCAGGATTAGTATTTGCGTGAATGAACATTGATTCTTCTTCCATCCAAATGATTTAGATACATTTGGATCAAACTGCATACCAAATCAGTTTGCCAAACATATATTTAACACAATTATGCAAAAACAAACATTACAATTCTGCCTGCCAAGATTTCTGGCTGTGACTGCAAATCCTACGCCCAATAATGAAGAGAGCAGTTTACCTATCTCCTACATTTTCATCTTGCACAAGCTTCCTTTTGCAGGATTACATCTATTTACTCATAACAGTGGTATTCAGATGAATGTGAACAAAGATTGAAAGACAGTGAGGGCTATTTTAGATAATTTGAGAGACACTCAGTGATGAAGATAGCAACTTCCCCGAGGGGTGTGATTAACCCGCTGTCTGATGAGGACACAGGAAGGTGCCAACCCAGCCGTAACTAAAGTGACTGCAAAGGAACAATGACAAGCCAAACATATGAGCTCAGTGAGGGACATGGGGTAATTATTGCAGCCACACACTTGCTATCTTAATTCTTTGGGCAACTGGTTTCTGTTTAGACAGGTCATACTCCAACAACACAAAGTCAGCAGGGATTGGGCTCCAGCTGGTAATGTGGCCAGTCAGGACAAGAAACAGAAACAAAGCTGCACAAGCAAAGATGAGGACGAAAACAAACCATGGCCATTGTTAGGATAAAGGGAGGAAACAAACACATTTACCTAGCCTTTTCAAACAATATTCCCAAACATTTTTCACTTTTTAAGTTTGTTACTGTAAAGGGTTAAGGGGTTAACAGACACAGTCATATTCTTGAATGACTTTGGATGTAAAGTCAAAGGAGGACACGCAAGTGAATACCTTGAGAATAAAATGCCACACTGGAAGCCAGACATCAAACTTGTCCTTTTTGCATAGCGAATTAATAAAGACTTTCTAACAAACAATTTATATGAAACTGAAACTCGCTCAACACTACAATAACTTCAATTAACTGTGCTGTGACGAATTTCTGCGAGGAATTACACATTCAAACAGTTACAAACATAGTCTATACTACAGCTATAAATATATGTCAAAATCTATGGATGTTTTAGGACTACTTTAGGGTTTGATGACAAGCCTATAATAGAGCTTTTCACAGCAAAGCATTTAACCTGTCATTGTTGGGAAAACACAGGTTTAGTTTATAACATCAATGACTAGTGTTAACTGGTGTCATTGTACTGTGCTGGAATAGCTTTACAGTGACACTAAATGGAACTTAGGCATTCTGTAATCAACTTTACTTGTTAGACTACTTTGTTTACATTGACATGTCTAAATGTCATGGAAAACGACATATTGTATGAATCATATTATTTGTAAGGTTATGTCACCAGGACTTCTCAAGAAAACTAGCTATTGTGGTAAGTCATTGTGTGAGTAGTATTTTGGACAGATATGTAAAAGACACAATGTGGCAGACAAATGCTGTATCCTGCCAAATGTTTCTGGTAAAAATGTATAAAATAGAATAACACATATTTGCTGTTCATGCTTTTTGTGTGTGGTAGGCCTAAAATGCTCTTGCAAGTTGTAATATTGTAAGTAATGGGTTTGAGGCATAGACTGTATATATAAAGGTGGAGGGTACATGTGGGTGAGCATGCGCAGTGTGTGTAGACGTTGTTGTGAAGTGGACTCCACAAACGGAGGCGCTGTCTGTGTTACTGACATGCCTGAGTTCCTGAGTTCGTATTACACAGTAGAAGCCCCAATATCTCGGACAGTTACAATATTATACAAGGCAGTCAAAAGTCTCGTTGGCATTGGTTATGAAAGAAGAAAATGGAGAGAACACTAAATAAAAGGCATTTTCCAAAAAGGGACCTGGGATCATAGTACCATTTTGTATCTTGTAATAAAATAAAATGCAATGGGTGTTTGCTTTCGGCTCTTCGCCTAACATTATGTATGGAGCTCATTTCCTGCCATAACTCCACAAACAAACTAAACAAGTTTTACAAATGCCTTATGATTCACTAACACAAACAGTGTGGTTAGCAAATGCAACACACCATATACTGCTGTGGTGTTTTGTGAAATGCTGTAGTGTTTTGTGAAATGCTGTGGTGTTTTGTGAAACGCTGTGGCGTTTTGTGAAATGCTGTTGCGTTTTCTGGCGTTTTGTGAAACGCTGTGGTGTTTTCTGAAATGCTGTTGCGTTTTCTGAAATGCTGTGGTGTTATGTGAAATGCTGTGTTTTTTTTTTAATGCTGTGGTGTTTTGTGAAATGCTGTAGTGTTTTGTGAAATGCTGTTGCGTTTTGTGAAATGCTGTGGTGTCTTGCACTTCAGGCCCACCGTAGATAAAGGTAAACAAAACATATGTTCAAACTACTGTACTGTTAAAACATTATGCTTCTTGTGGCACAAAATAATATGTTGACAATGTTTTATTTTACCCTGGCAAACTGTTGTCCATTCTTGGAGTGCTCACTTTTTGAACATTTGGAATGTCCCACACCTGCATACACACAAATGACTGACTGAAATAAAATAGATTCACTTTAAGATTCAGAACGCCGCTGCTCGAGTCCTCACTAACACTAAGAAAGTGGATCACATCACTCCTGTTCTGAAGTCTTTACACTGGCTTCCTGTGTGTCAAAGAATAGATTTCAAAAATACTGCTGCTGGTTTATAAAGCACTGAATGGTTTAGGCCCAAAATACATTTCTGATCTCCTGCTAAATTATGAACCATCCAGATCTCTCAGGTCTTCAGAGACTGGTCAGCTTTCTGTCCCCAGAGTCAGAACTAAACATGGTAAAGCAGCGTTCAGTTATTATGCTCCAAATATCTGGAACAAACTCCCAGAAACCTGCAGGTCCGCTGCAACTCTTACTACTTTTAAATCCAGGCTGAAGACTTTTCTTTGTGTCGCTGCTTTTAATTGAACTATTCATATCTTAGACTGCACTGTAACTTTTATCCATGTATTTTTTCTTTTAATGTTTATTTTATTAGCTTTTCTTTTTAATGATGCCATTTTCTTAATGTCTTTCATTTTTTGTAAAGCACTTTGAAATTGCCTTGTGTTGAAAAGTGCTATATAAATAAACTTGCCTTGCCTTGCCTTTAATTAAGAATAAATGCTACGATAAATCCAAACTGACCAAGGTACATTATATTATTGACCGTCCTTTAACTCTCACATTAGGATTTACATTGGGGCGCAATAAACCAACTCCTCTCTGCACCTATAATATATCTATATGATTTCAAGAGTTACATTTAGGTGCACAGTGCTGTTTCTTGACTTGCAAGCTCTTTTACCAAACAAGCTAACGCTAGCTGGGTAAATATGACGCTCTTTGTATAAAAACAAAACTTACCTTCTTATATATCGACTTTGTCCACTTCGATCAACTTTGTTTCCTCCGGCTTCAATTTCCATCACTCTCGTTCATTCTCTCTATGTCTGGTCAGACCAGTGGTTGCGCTAGACTTTTTCGTTGTCCGTCATTTTGACGGACAGGATCGTAACATTTCCGTCATAATCCATTATTACCCGTCATTTTTTAATTGTATTTATTCATTTAATAATATTAGCTGCTAATTGTAGCCACCAGAGTATCGCAGCTTCAGGTTTTGGCTATGCGTCACTCTCACTCCTTATTTGGTAACGTGTGTGTATTGTGTGAAAAAAATATGCGTGCGGTCACTTTTCACGTCAACACGAATATGAATGATTTATTTTTTCCTGCACTGACAGCACAGCAGAGGGGGGCAGAGGCCACTAAAACACAGCGACCATTGTGCCTAAACAGGCAAATATGAACAATGCCATTGTTTTAAATGAGACAATTACAATTAAAAAAATATGAACAAAACATTTACAAGAACAACTCAATTGACCTGCTGTAGCCTAGCCTGAACTCAGACCTTCCTCCTGGGCCGCAGGGATTTAAACTGGGTGCTCGCTTGTGCGTAGTCAAATGCATGAAGGGAGATTGCTGCAGAGGCGATTGTCATTAAGCGTTGGGTCTTTGCCTCGGACAGACAATTTCTCATGGCCGTTTTGATGTTGTTCTGAAGGCTGAACCCGCGCTCTGTTGCTACGCTGGAGACTGGAATTACCAGCACCACTTCAGCCAACGTTTTGTAGTCGGGAAACATTTCTCCCAGGGAAGTGATCAGAAGTCGGCAAGACTCTCTGAAC